GGGCCACATGGGGGTGACCTCCTGTCGGATCGCCGGGTAGACGAATACGTCGTCGACCCACCCGTCTCCCTCTTCCGGGACGGGACGGGGGCGACGGCGCACTGGCTCTCTACGAACTAATAGACCTATTTCTATAAGTTCGGAGCCCCACGTCTACCGACGCCGCCGGTTATTAGACCCACACAACCCTCACAGGCGACTAAAGGGGAGTCGTCCTGCGACCGAGTGGGAGTCCGGGGAGACGTTCCCCCTCACGCAGTCCGCAATCATTCCGCCTCTCTCCCATGTCCTTGTAATACCGTCCGCATTGTCCCAATCCTTTGTTCAATACGGTTCACACTTCTGAGGTGAACTACAAAAGTGACAAGCCCACTTTTGTAGTACCGACTCGCGTGCGAGGCCCCTCACGTGGGTAAGGCGCAAGTTTCTGGAGTCTATCTCTCAGGCCCGGGAAAGGGCCAGCCTGGGGGTACCGTTTACAAAGGGGAGTGCCCTTGGTTAAACGCCGCCCTGCCAAGTGGTCCCCTTATGGTGGTCGAAGATAACAGACCCCAGGTGTTATCAACCGTGTAGGGGACTACGTTACAATGCACCTTACCTTTGGCGTCGACGTACAATTACCGCACCCTGTCCGAGTGGCCCTCCACCCTGAGGATACCTGCCCAAGTAGCAACTGTAGCCTTCGTTTTTAGCCACGTGGCCTCCCACACACCGCCAGATGTCCGGTAGGGGGGCGGCGAAACGAAGGCCGGCTGTGCTGGACGACCCGGGACGTAGAAACCCTGACGGAGGCGGCTCACCGGCCTCGGAGGTATTGGTGGGGCAAGCGGCAAGCCTGCACGCTCCGCCGCCATAGCCATCACCGCAGAGAAGTCCTGACGAGCCGACCTCTGCTGATGGCCTTCCTGGCAGTCAGCGGAAATCCCGGGCGACGAGGTGTCATTATCGTCACCCACCGGCGAAACGTAGCACCCCTCGAACACCGCCACTCTGTGCAGGCGGCTGGATCGAGTCAACAACCGGCAGGCACTGCAGACTGCTGATGGAGGCAGGTTAGCCTCCACGTGATCAGACCCCAGACACTCGATACACCGAGTATGGGGATCGTCACTCCCGATAGAACCCGGACACGAAGGACACGGGCGCTCCGCAGATGAGTCCATACTGTCGTTTGTGTTTTAAAGAAATCTTCTTGTCGTTTTATTATCCATCTCTCTTCACTCAGTTACTTCTCGTATGCTGCTTAGCTGAAGAGAAAGGGATAGAAGTAAGCGGGCGAGGCCGCCTCTTATGCAGTGGATGCGCGCGCATTCAGGTAGGCCCGCCCAGTGGCCGGCTACGTCTATGGAAGTCTCAGTAAAGGAATGCGTGTATGATAGGATACGGGGGAGTACCCATAGAGTCCAGTAGAGGGCGGAGCCTGTGAAAAATATAACTACATAATTATGCAGATTAGTAAAAAGTCTAAATTAATGCTTTGTCAGGTCAGTCCAGCAAAAATGAAAAACTTTTCTACTTTAAACCATTGTCTAATGCAGTGGTTCCCAACCTTTTTTGGTCTCGTGGACCCCTTGAGCTGGTCGCCATTCTTTAAGAACCCCCTCACTCATCTGTGATGATTCGCCAACTATTTTTCTTGTATTAAACCCTTTGCTATCGTATTAAACCCAACTGCTCCTTAAATGAAAATCATTTGTATAACTCACCCTTAATACAAATGCATTTAAATGGACATCTACACTTATTTTCAGTGAAAAACAATAATATTAAGACTCTCTTCTAGCAGTTTCAACATATTTTGTTAACACTAGAGCTTTTAATGAGACACTTGAGCTTTCTTGTCTTTCATAAGCTTTGATAGTTCAGGGGGCGGGACACCAGGCTTATGAAAATTGATTTTAAAATGTTTTTTTGTGGAACTATTTTTATCTGCCCATATAATTCACCGTTCTTTTTCTGTGTATGCAGTCCTCCCGTGGTACAGAAATCCATTTTACTATTGTTTTGCCCTGTTTTTCCATTGTAGCACAAGGTACTTGGATTCACCCCTAACCCTACTACATAAAAAACAACATATGTAATTTAGCTGACCTTTTTTTCCAAAGCAATTCACATACACTTCAATACTGTAGACATGCCAACCATTTGGGGTGAAGCATCTTGCCAAGAACACTCTGATTGGTAGACGCCTGCTTAGCCCCTGCAGCCACAGCCATTGATACAATTATATTTTCTTCTCCATTATACTGTATTAGTATAGAGGTAGAAAATAAACAAAGACAGCCCAACATCTTGACTAATGACACTATCTACATGGCCAGGTAGAATTAGATTTCATGTTGTTATTATCTTTTTTTATTGTGTCAACCTACCCTTTAAAGGTCTCCTATTATGCTATTTTAATATGGTTAGACATCCCTCATATCCCTCTGTTTCAGCCCTTAGAGAAAGGCAGATTTTAGGTCCTTATCTTGAAAAATAAATAAGAGTAGGGGGAGCTAATGCCCGCACAGAATTCTACCGGCAGATACAGTTAAATTCTGCCGTGATTAAACGCCATCATGTTCTAAACCACATCAAGGATTATTTCTGAAACAGTATGGAGCTCAAATGCTTTTTCTCTTGCGGGTTTACCACAAGGTGAGTTCCTTTTTTTATTTCCTGCTTTTTTCACACATACTCTCTTCAGTACAGGTTAGCTCTAAGTGTTAGCGATGCTTGCTAATGTAAACAAAGACCATATTACGTCCAAAAGGCATTGTTTCTGACAGTAACTTTCTGATAGTGCCGTGGGTCCACATTTCGCAAATCTGGACCAGCTCTGTTGTACCCCCTTTTTAGAGATTTGCGTACAGAGGAAAAGAGAGAGGGTTTTGTTTTCTGACACTTTGTGAGTTCCTTGACACACCGGGGACACATATTTATGTATAAAAGGCATCAAAAAGTGCATTTTGCACGATAGGTCCCCTTTAACTTGACCAACACATTTTTTTTGTCGGAAACTCACCGGCACTGCAGGCTGAGAGGGGAATCCAGGCTGAGAGGGAAATCCAGGCTGCATAGGGAATCCAGGCTGCATAGAGAATCCAGGCTGCATTGGGAATCCAGGCTGCATTGGGAATCCAGGATAAGAAGGCAAGGCAGCTTGGGTTGGATAGGCTACCTGGGGAGCAAACACCGGCTGAGCAGCAAACACCGGCTGAGCAGAAAACGCCTGCTGGACAGGAAAAGGAAATACAGGAGAGAAGAACTTTAATCTTATTCATAACTTCTGCTACATTGTTCACATACTCTATGTGTAATAAGGTGTAGGATGATTTGTAACGAGAACATTGACATAAAGTACATAAAATACAATAAATGCCAGACATAACTGTGGGAGCATCCTCACCATGGGATTCTGGAAGGTAATGTTGGAAATTTCCACTTTCCCGCCTACTGAAATAGTGTCCACTTGCTGGAAAGGAATACGGTACCTGTACTCCATAAAGTGGCTGCCATTGACAGTCAGCTGGAGAGAAAATATGGAAATGTATTCACGCACAGAAAAATATTGAGCATGGAAATAAATTGTACCTTTATATTAAAATAGAAACCTGAAAAGGGTGTTTTAAATGAGCTAAAAAATATTTAATAATACGATAGTAACACGGCAGGATCCTGGACAGTGGGTTTCCATCATCACAAATTAAAATAAAGTATTGGCTTTAAGAATATGAAAATGTTATCCCCAAATTCAGATGATACATAAGGTGTTGACACTTGTGAAGGTACGATATCATCCTGAAAAGGGTGTTTCCAATGTGTTCAAATCTATGTTTTCTGCATAATCAGTTAGCATTTTCTCATGCTTACTCATTTTCCCAGAAACAAATGACCCTATGAACAATCGGTTACTAGGAATAACTACACGTCGTAAAAAAACCCAGGTTCAGTGAGACTGCTGTAAAACATTAGAGGTTATTATGTGTTTGTTAACTTAGATTAAACTATTGCATGATCAGTGGCAAGCCGTCAGGGCCCACTAGGCCCTCTCTGAGGACCTAAGATATTCTACAAAATTATATTTAAAAACATATTTACACAATTCTTCATTTTCCGAGGCTAGGAAGGATTCTTGCCTCGCTTCTGAAGCAAGTGACTTGGAGGTACATGTGCTACCAAGCAAGCGTCCTCGAAATTGAGAAACACCCACTGTGAAGACAGGAGCTGATTGGTGGTCCTGCTGTAAACTCACAGAGGGCCAGCTATAGTAACTGAACGAGAGAGTAATGTCAAATGACAGTACAATTGACCAATCATATCTTCCCTCTAAATGGGTGGGTTTTATTATCGCAGACTTTAGGACAAGTTCCGCCCGCTGTGAAGCTTTTCTTGTTTCCATAGCAACAACAACTTCCAGTCAACAGCGTAAACTCGCCTTCAAAATAAAAGCATGCCAAATTACACTTAAGACATACAACTGCAACGAAAGTAACAAACACAATGCAATACCCTTTTCAATTTCAAAGAACACAAATTGGGTTATTTACAGGTGTTGTTTTGTGTGGTAGAGGGTCGCTTTCATTGATGCGTTTTGCACCCCGGGCCGTTGTTTTGATATTCCGCTGAAGTATACGCTGTGACGTAATAACTTTTTTTTCGAGGGAAGGGGTGGGGTTCAGAGGGCCTAGGTATAAAAGTCACGGCTCGCCACTGTGCATGATAACACTTGCTGTAACAAAGACACTCACAAAAGAGACTCCTAAAACTTGGAAATGTAGGGAAGTGAAATCAGTCTGAATGACATTTCAGCAACAGACCTGAAAGGACTGCTGGGTCACTGTGATGCTGAGGCTGAAGGTACTGCCAGCAGGGAATGGAGAGTTGTACTTCCTCTCTTCAGAGCCCCACTTGCCATTTTGGAATGTGTTGGTAACCACATAACCAGGGTGGCTGTCATATCGTGGATTCATCTGGAGAGCAATGTCCGCATTGGTCCTAGAACCACACTGTAAATTCACATGGAACCTGGAGAAAAATAAGAGTCATTATTCATGTTTTACAAGAGATTATTAGCTTTTTTTATGATTAGAAATATGTATAAATGGCCAATATATAAAGTCATGAATAGTAACAAACAGTCCTAAGCTGCCTCTTGGAGGTTTTGACCGCTTCAAACTAATCATTTGACAATAACAAAGGTTTTATTTCAGAGAGACAGTCATATATTGGACAGACATTTGTTGAGACAAAATGAAAAACATGAATTGCTTCAGTCAACTGCAATGTGATCTTCTGATAGTAATCAAAAGTAAACACGACAAGCCTTTCTTGCTCTTGGATCAAAGTGAATGCATTAGGAGATTAAGAGAAACTAGATCTAGCCGTGTTACTATCGTGTTATTAAATATTTATATATCATCGTCTTTTATGGCGAGGGATGCGTTTCCATGGAAACAGCATATGATGACACCCCATAATTGATGTAGAGCTGTTGAGGGCAGGACCATTAACCATTATCTGAAGTCTGCTGCTCTGAGCATGTCAGTTGGAGTTATGACATCATCGTGTTCCATGACACAGGTGTTTATATTTGAGCTAACGACGTGTCTAGAGATCAAAGGTTTCCATGAGTTGTTGTATTTGAAAAGTCTTCTTTATTCTCGTGGGTTTAAAAGTTTTTTTTCTATCATTAGGATCTTACACAATCCGTAAAATAATTGTTGTGTCTATTATGGTGAAATGTTTAGTAGTAAACACTTCATGTTTTATTGTATATTTACAATAGACAAATAAAACAATTTTGTTTATTATTATTTTGTTTTACGAGATAGTCTCCTTTACTTTTCTACTTTGTTTTGCTAAGTTGTACATAGGTAATTGGTAACTTATTTTTTATGGTCTTGTGGAGTAGCTAGGGTAGTTCGTCTTGGCTTGTGGAAATCAATTTTAGACTTTTCTTGTATATATATGCTGGGCTTTCATGTGTTGTGTCTCATTGTGTAAGTCGTACGAGTTCAAGGAAACTGTACGAAGTGCGAAACTTAAAGTGGTTATAGACAATTCCAAGAAGTTGTCTGCAATGGTTTACATTACGATGCAAGTGGGCCTGGCGCTACGCTTATATTATTAATCGTTAAACAAATAGGCCCGCAGTAAGTTTCTGTATTGTGGCAACTGCGCGACCGATGTTGTTTTACTTGTATAAGAATGGGCTATCTATATTTATACATTATGTTGCTAAAGATTTACTACGTCTTGGCATTTTGTATGACTATGGCCAATCATTTTTGGTACTAATTACGAACTGTTCAGAGTCTGTCTGTCCGTCACGCTTTGGAAAAAATTTTTATCGAATATCTATATAATGATCTTACCTCTAACCCTTTTAGTCTTTTTTTGTTTCTTCTATCTGATTGCAACATATACGAGTGAGGTGTGAGTATTTCCGGATGTCTGTATTTATTTGGTCGCGACATTAAGTGGTATTGTGTCTGTCAGACACCTAACATGACGGACAAATATGAGACATGTGCAAAGACTGTCTATACTCCTCGACACTAGAGACACACGATTGACGATTGTCGATTACCCCGACTACAAAAGACCAACTTGCAGTCACTGCCGTCCGACTCTAGAGTGGAGACTAACCGAAGGCGCTCTTGCCAGTGCACTAAACTGCGAGCTCAACTTTTTAACTGAGCATCGGTCAAACTGCGCCGGGGAAGTAGTGAGTAGCGCACTAAGCGCGTCGCAGGTGGCGAAGTAGGCGGCTAGCCTCGCTTAATCACAGACTAGCACAGAGAGCGTAACTGAAATGTACATTAGTCGCGGCGGGGCGTTTGCAGCGTACTCAGGCCACACTGCGTCGTAATCTCCAAAATAGAAGTAAGTCTTACTTTTATCCGAGAGGAGA